ATTGTTACAATTTTTCAAATCGTTTCTCTCCATTTTTTCTCTCCAATAATATTTATAGAATGAACCTTCTTCTTTCATAAGCAATCTGTAGAATTACTGTAAGTACATCATTGTCTGACTTACATTGTGTTGTAAAAAAAATAGTTTGGTATAAACAAATAAAATAACTTTTAAACTATTTGACTCATCGCTTTGAAATTTTGATCATATTTTAAGCTCTACAAGACTCAACATTCCATGTAATATGAAGATCTAAGTTTCATTAAAAAAAGTGATTAACATTTATAAAAAATGAAAATTTCTGATCTATTTTGCAATTTTCTACGCATCAAATAGGAATAGAAACATTTTAAAAATGCCACTTTGAACGTTGTTATATTAGATATAGACTTTTTATTCTCAAATTTATTTCCAGTGTTTCACTTTTTGCTGATAGACGAAAAAAGCGGAAATTGACCATCTGAAAACACCTCTCGTTTGCCTGGCTATGTCAGTGTTGCCAATATTCTTATTTTCCTGGACTATATCGTAATGGTCTGGTTAGTAGCGAATAGTTACTAGTAACGTAATTTTACTTCACTAAAACGAGCTTTTGTAATTAAAAAATAGAAAACTTTATAAAAAAAATATAATCGAACTCATGCTCAACAAAATCATACAAGTGTTGATATTACACCGATCTGACAAAATTTAATAAGTGATTATGAAAAAAATATATTTAAAGACAACAAGTTGAACAGTACAACCATTTTGACGAACTGACTTGGCTAGAGAAGTTAGAATGGTAAGATATATAGGGCGACAATTGGCAATATGACGATTTTGAACCAAATGGTACGCAAGAAATTTGCAAGAAAATACTATTTTATTAACATCAAAATGAAGCTTATAGTATGCCATTTACAATCTAATTAAGTATAGAAAAAAATGCCATAAAGTTGGATGTAGTTTTCGATTTTCTTTATAAAATCCTTTCGATCAAATTACACGACTCTTTAAATACCCTCATAGAAAAAAATGACAAAAATAAACAGGTCTGGAGACATTGGAGGCCACGGCCTCCGAATCTCCGAAACATGAAATGAGTAGTCCTGAGAACACGTCACGGAGAATATTCATTGAAGCCTGTGCAGAATGTGCCGTGGCGCCATCCTGTGAAATCACATAATCATTGGGTTTATCCCTTTTCTGCGTAGTTCTGGAGCTAAAGAATCTTGGATCGTATCAACGTAGCGAATAGAATAAACGGTGACGGTATGGCCAGCCTCTTAGAAAAAATATGGCACAATAATGCCAGTCGGATCAATGGCACACTACACTTGACCTTTTAAGAATGTAATCCCCTCAAGCTTTGTACTGTGCGTTCTAAAAACATCCGGCTCCCGATTATCATCCGTTACCAGAATAAGACCACAATCCTGTAGTTGCAACTGTCAGAATAAAACTTAAAAGAGTAGGCAAGGCTAAACCCAGTCAGAGAGTAGCATGGAGTAGTGCTGACCAGGGACAAAAACAAATGTATAAAGACATGGTAGACACGCAGTTAGAGTCTAAGACATTAGCTCCCACTAAAGAGACGACAATAAAAGAAAACATTGTAGACATATGGGGAAAAATTAAAAATACTGTCCTGGAGGCAGCAAAGCAAAATATACAGAAAGAAAACCGTAAAAAAAGAAAACCATGGATGACAAACGAAATATTACAAATTATGGAGAGGAGACGGATGGTAAAAACCAAAACCCAACAAGATACAAAGAGCTTAACAGGGAAATTGAGAGAAAGATAAATGTAGCTAAGGAAGAGTGGATGAAAGAAAAATGTAAAGAGGTAGAAGATCTGCAAAGGAAGCATAAAGATAGAGAATTACACAGAAAGGTGAAAGAAGTCGCTGGGATATGGAAACCCAAACATTTATCTATTGTAACAAACACGAAAAACCAAATGGAATTAGACCCTGAAAAACAGAAGGAAATATGGGAACAATATCTTAAAGATTTGTTTGGTGATCGGAGAGCAGAAGGGCCCCCACAAATAGATACCGATGGAAAACTAAGTATTCTAACCGAAGAAGTTATGCGGGCAATAAAAGACGCAAAGAACAACAAGGCAGCCGGCGAAGATCTAACAACAGCCGAACATTTTAAACACCTGAGTGATGATGCTGTCGGGAAATTAACCTACCTCTTTAACATTATATATGAACATGGCACTCTACCGCATGACTGGCTAACATCCACATATGTAGCTCTTCCTAAAAAACAAAAAGCAAGGAAATGTGAAGACCATCGAACTGTATCCCTAATGAGTCATGCTGCTAAGATTTTTATGCCAGTAATTTATAACCGCATTCACAATAAGTGTGAAGAATACCTGAGTCGTTCTCAATATGGTTTTAGGAAAGGTACAGGCACCAGAGAAGCAATAATGGGATTGACACTAATGGCAGAACGGTAGCTCGAGGTTCAAAAACAGCTGTATGTGTGCTTTGTCGATTATAGAAAGGCTTTCGACCGCATTAGACACGAAAAATTGATTGAGGTGCTAAAAGAAGTAGGGCTGGACGGACACGACATAGCTATAATAAGCAATACATACTGGAACCACACAGGATGTGTTCGAACAGACAACGGAAATACCAATTATGTAAACATAGAACGAGGAGTGCGTCAAGGGTGCATTCTGTCCCCTCTTCTATTTAATGTCTATGCCGAAAATATCATCAGAGCTTCTCTTTCAGATCGCCATGAAGGTGCCAGAGTCAATGGAATCATCATTAACAATGTAAGATATGCCGATGACACCGTAGTATTAGCAGAAACAGAAGACCAACTAAAAATATTGATGAACATACTATCAGAAGAAAGTCACAGACTAGGTTTGGATATTAATCTGTCCAAAACCAAAATCATGGTATTCCACAAGAACCCCCATGAACAAATTACACCCAACATACAAATCAATGGTATCACCCTTCAGAGCTCCCAAAGCTTCATATACCTGGGCAGAGAGCTAAACAGTCAGCTAGACCACTCAAAAGAAATTAGAAGACGTATTGAAACAGCAAGATCTGGCTTCATGAACATGCGTAAAATGCTCTGTAACCCCAAGCTATCAATCACAATAAGGTTAAGAACACTAAAGTGTTATGTGTGGTCTCTACTACTATATGGCTGTCAGACCTGGACATTAAAACAGTATGACGTCAACAAACTGAATTTATTCGAAATGTGGATGTACCGCCGAATGCTAAGAATAAGCTGGACCAGCAAAACTACAAATGAAGAGGTACTGGAAATGATGAACACACGACCTCATCTGGTTAATACAATCAAAATTAGAAAGACGTCATATCTAGGACACATAATGCGCCATAAGGAATTTGAGCAGCTCTAGGTAATATTAGAAGGCAAAATCGAGGGTAAAAGGGGTATAGGAAGAAAGAAAAAATCCTGGCTCCGAAACATCAGAGATTGGACTCACACAACAGGAAATGACTTAATCCACCAAGCCCAGAACAGAGAGAAATTTGCCATATTGATCGCCAAACTCAATAGAGAAGGCACTTAGGAGGAGGAGGACCAGAATAAGAATAGAAAAAGTATATTTCACTAGATAACAAATATTATACTGTAGTAATGCACAAGTGTTGGTCAAATTGAATGAACAAATTACCTTAATTACTTTCAGTGAGTAATGCACTTGTCTTTCAAAAGGGATAGTTTAGGCGAGGAAATATTTACGGTGTGTACTATACAATCTTTGGTCATATAATGATATAGATGCTACCTCTAATAATGAAAGGACATATAAAGGGCAAGTGAATTTAAGGAAATGGTTTAATATGAGTTCAACTCAATTATTTAGGACAACTGTGAATAAAGTTAGAATCGTCATAATGAGTTCCAACCTCCGATTGGAGAAGGAACTTCAAGAAGAAGTACCATACAATCGAAAAGAAATTGGGAACGAGATAGCATAAAACAAGCAAGGTATAATGAAATGGTTGGATTATGACGGATAAATGACAAACAAACACTATTAAATGAAGCATAATATGTTTCCTGTTATGTCCATTATTACAATAAGATTTAAAAGAAGTATTATCCAAAAACCGCCATATATCCTGTACTAAAGACTCTTTATTCGCTAAAGATAATATTTGCGCTTAACTGGATACAATGTTCATGCAAACTCTGATGAATAGCAACATCTTTGCCACACAAAAATGTTTCTTATCTATAGATCTAAATCGTACAAGAAAATTAAACGCAGCATCGTTAGGATGCGAGTGTCTCAAAAGATCAAACAAAACGTACACGCGAGACGGTGGTTTTTAAGATGGTGACACAACGATCAAAAGAAGAAACGATATTGTTCAAAAGAATGCTGAGCTTTCATGGGATTTTATTTCAGATAACTGAGGATGAGAAGGAATTTTAATATAAACGGTTCTTACGCTGCTGTACCGACTGTTGTTATTGTATGAGTATAAAGTATGTTTTGTATTTAAACAAAACTGTGTTTGTGACTTGGTAAAAATTACTCTCTTTGTATTATTACGGATGTAAAGGCAGTTTATAAAAAATATATAAACTACAGTCAAATATAAAAAGATACAATGTTGTTATAAATCATTAAAGACTAAATTATTTCGGCTTCGCAATCGACCGAATAAAAAGCTACTCTATTTAGCTAAGCTTTATAAGATTTTTATACTTTTAAATTTTCTCCCATTACAGTTATCCTTCCTACTCTTTAACCTTTTGATAATATTTTTTGTTGTAATTTTTTTTCTGTATTATTTCTTTGTTGAAACTACGACAAGAAGGAAGAAACATATTCTTCACATATAGTATTTTCACTGTAATAACTTAATAAATAATAATGATTCAAAAATAATAAAGGGTAAACAAAATGTAATGCAAAATGAACTTTTTTAAATGAGTATTATTTTCCTTCGTTTCTCTTTCTGTTTAATAAAATAAAGAAAAACTTACGAATTGTTCACAGAATTTGGCGTCGAACACGGAGTAGGCCTTTTTTCTTCCCGTATCGTACTATGATTTATCTTCGACGTAAGCCTCTTAAGAACGTCATCCATAGTCCGTTTCAGCGGATGCGAGGAACTGTTATTATTAACTAAACTATTGTTATTATTATTATTGTTATAACTGTTCGTTTTTATATCAGCACTGGGACTACTACACTCCGAAGAGTTCCGTCGTCTTTCGTGATCCGTATGTAAGGATAACGCCTGAATACTACTAGAAACGAATATGTGAGGTTCACCCATTCTGGCCGATTTATTGGGAGGCATGCGATCCTCCTCAAGGTCCTCTCCTTCACTGGGGGAGACACTGCCCGGCGAAGATGGCTCCGATAGTTTGTAGAACGCGTTAGAGTTGTGAACCATAGTATTGTTGTCTTCCTCGCAGATATCACTTAGGTTATTGCTGCTCGTCTCGTCCAGGTCGGTGAGACCTCCTCCTTCGCTGCCGCTGCCGGTGTGCTGAACTCCTGGTGTCGTGGGGTCTGTTGAGTTGGTGCCTTCGTGTAGTTTTGTTGGTGGGGACTTTCGTTTTGAGGACATGTTTCTGAAAAAAGAAAAAAACTAAATGTAAATTATCATATATTTTTTTTAAAAGTCTTGTAACAACAAATTGTTGAGACAAAAATTAATCCAGAATATACTGAATAGTATTCGGACAGGACAAACTTAAAACAAACATTTCTGCGCCAATCTTTGTTCTTGCCAATCTGTCAATCTGTCAATAAAAAGGATGATGTATGAAGATACTTAAAAATACAGCTTTTAAGTACCAATATGTTTTTTATATTTATATATGCATGAAGAGGCCGACTCATTAGAAACGACTGACAGATCTGGTCCGAATAATAATATCCAATTAATACTTTTTTAACTTTCTTTTGCCATTTGTCATCCAGTTAGATATAATAATATTCTCTGTGATACAATTTCGTTAACTTTTGTTTATTCTATTAACTCAATAATAATAAAAATAGCAAATAAAATTTTTAAGGAAGAACGATGATACAATAAAAGTACAAGTAAAGAGATGGTTGCGAAAATGATCATCTAACCAAGCACTCTGTAAGACAAAACCACTTACTAAGCTGAAGATCCAGATCTATACGTCTCATCTTCTTCTTTGTGTGCCGTGCTTGTTTTCAAGCGTTGGCTATGGTCGTATTAACTAGCTGATGAAATGTTTCTTCTGTCAGCGGCAGCTAGATCAAACAGTTCCTCGACCATTCGACCTGTCCATTGTCTAATGTTAACGAGCCAGGATAGTTGTTTTCTTCAGACCCAGCGATTTTCTTTGATTTTGCCCTGAATGATCAACCGGAGTAAGCGATACATAGGTCATTCCATTATATGACCGAAGTATTAAACCTTTCTCATTTTGATGATGTTGATCAATTCTTGCTCTTTGCACATGGTCTCTAGCGCACGTTGGTTAGATATGTGTGCTATCCACGGGATTCTGAGCATGCGACGGCAATACCACAGGTCGAATGCTTTTAATTTATTAGGATTTTTTATTTTTGCTGTCCAGGTTTTACATCCATAGAACAAAGCAGACCAGATCACTTTATACTCTTAGACGTGTGGTTAACGACAGACTTCTACTGCATAATACAGAACGCCAGTTAATAAAGTTTTTCCGTGCGAGTTCTATTCTGGTCGAAATTTCCTCGTCACTTTCAACCCTGCAGTCAATCCAGCTAACCAGATATCTAAAGTTTTCCACCCTTTCCAGAATTTTGTTATGTAATCTTAGTACTGAGTCTTCGATATTAATTTTTCCGAACACCATCAATTTTGTTTTTTTTGCGTTGATTGTTATGCCCTTTTCAGTGCATTCATTCTTTGGAGCGTTCAACAGGGTTGACGGTCTTCAATTATGGCGGTGTCGCCATATACGTGGCGATATATGAGATAAATACAATATAAGAGTAAGTGGTCAAAACGGCCAAAAAAAACGGCCAAGGAGATTGGACTTGAAATAAATACACAGAAGACAAAAATACTAACACAGACGCGGACAAAGCGAACAAGAAATCAAATCAAAGTAGAGGATGACATTGAAACAGTGAAGAGTTTTACTTATCTGGGAGTCGAAATGAATACGGAGGGAACAGAAGTGGCCGAAATTCAGAAGAGAATATTGAAGGGAAATAAAGCCTATTTTTCCCTGATTAACATATTCCGCTCCAAGACGGTACATCGAAAATCGAAACTTAAGGTCTATAAAACTATCATCAGACCGATAGTATGCTATGGATGCGAGACATGGGTTTTGACAGAAAGCACTAAACGAAGATTAGAGGTTTTCGAGAGAAAAATCCTAAGGAAGATCTTTGGACCCATCACTCAAAATGGGATGTGGAGATCTAGATATAACCATGAACTCTACCAACTGTTCAAAGAAGCACCTTTTGCAGAGTTCGCTAGAGTACAAAGGCTTCGATGGGCTGGTCATGTGGTACGGATGGATGCCGACAGATTGCCGAGAAAGGCCTTGGATGGTAAAATGCAGGGCAGAAGACCAAAGGGAAGACCACGTAATAGATGGGAGAACGAAGTCACAGCAGATGCGCACAACTTATTGAACGTCAGGGCTTGGAGACGAGTGGCGCGGGATCGCCTTTGTTGGAGGCAGAAGTTACAGGAGGCCAAGGCTCAATTTGGGCTGTAGCGCCATTGGAAGAAGAAGAAGAGTAAGTGGTTCACATGTATGAAATAACTACCAATTATTGACCATATTATCAATTCAATCAATGAGTAAATATAGAAAGTCTGATCATGTCAAAGAGTAAATCAGTAATAAGTACTCTTTTTTATGAACTTACTGAACTTTTTTATTTACCCTAATAAAACTATACAATGTAAAAATATGTATCTTTGTTAATTAACTTTCTAGAAACTCTATACTGCACATTCAAAAATGCAGAAAGGTAATTAATGAAATTATCAATTAAAGTCAAATCAATACACTATCACTTTTGCCTCTCAGACTAAATTATTAAATAGAAAGACATGAAAAAGTACGTGGCTGAGTTTTGAGTTGTAATGTTCAGGAAACGTACAATCATTTTTATTCAGTTACCAATTTTGCAATAAGAAAAAGAGCGATTCCTAAACCAAAATTTAGAACAGCTGGATGGTTTTATGTATTTTAGTGAGGCTACTGCTCCCAAATTCTTTGGATAATGGCTCGAAAAATAATTTTATTTGTGTCCTAAGCCATTAAAACCTATAAAAACGGAACACGAATGATCGAACTACAGTTCGAATGATCCTGATGATGCTTAGCTAACCAAACAGCAAATTATTACAACATGGAAAAAAAACCTACATAGTTAATTTATAATCGTTAACGAATCTCTAGCAGAGGCTTAATTACAAGCTCTCAGGATAACACTGTTTTTCGTGTTGTGACAGTATAAACTAAAGTCATCGAGTCCTTCACCTCAAGCGATTTAATAACCAGAAACTAAAATCACCAAATGGGGTTTCGATATTTCTTTTGGTCACTCATAATACAAATAGGTATTGAAAGGAAATGTCTCCTATTCCACAAAATTTTTACATCTGTGTGCCAAATAAATCAGTCAGTTTGACGCCCGTCTACTTCTGACAAGACAATTTTAGTTACTCTTCATATAAGATACAGTTCTAATAAAATAGAAAGCTTGTAATTTCCTTAAGATTACCGAGTTCAGAGTTTTTGCCAGAAAAAGTTGTCATCATCTTCAGATGAAGTCATGATATCAAGACAGCTATAACAAGTTGATTTAATGGCTATTGAAGCTTGAAAACTGAGATTAGCCTAAAAAGTATATGATACTTACACGGAAATGTAGAAAGAAATTAAAAGAATTAAACGAAACAGTTAATGATAGAAGAAATAAAATGTAGGGTAGAAAAAGAAAGATCTGCATTTTAAAAAATGGCAAAGCTATTCAAATGTCATGATTTAGCAGTACCCCTAAAAATCAGGTTAATACGATGTTTTATCTTTCCTATACTGTTGTACGGAGTCGTGGATTCTCACTGAAGCTACCTGCAAGAAAATTGAGGTTTTCGAAATGTCGAATCCGGAAGATATCCTATACCGACCATGTTATTAACCAGGACGTTTTATTAGGAATGCAAAAAGGAAAAAGTTGTTGACCACCATGAAAACAGCCAAAATCGAATATCTCGGTCGCATCATGAGGAACAGTGAAAGATATGAGTTGCTGCAATTAATTCTAGAGGACCAGGAAGGAGAAGGATTTCCTGGCTGAAAAATCTACGTACGTAGTTCAACACAATAACCACAAATCTTTTCAAAGCAGCAATTTGCAAAATTCAGTTTGCCATGATGTTCGCCAAGATCCGTAAAGGATAAGCACTATAAGAAGAAGAATCAATGATAAGCTGGAATGTTAAGAACTTTTAACGGGGTGACACTATACAGATCAAATAAAAAACAGTTTAATAAGAATCTGCGATACACAGAACCAGAATGGATTCAGGTAGAAGATTGTCATCAGGCCGAAATCCAACGAGATATTATGAAACTAAAACTCCTTTACATATTATCAATAACGTGATTATGTAAAATAAGATCTTATTAAATAAAAAGCTGGAGTTTATTTATAGAAACATTTTTTAACTCCAAAATCGTTTCACAATAGTCAACAAAGTGACCGTATTTGTGGAAATACCACAAATGCGATTGTACAATTAAATTTTTTTTTGGTTTGATAACAACATAGTAATAGCGATGGCTTCATCTTTGAACAACACTTGTTTCTTGTTTCAACATTTATTTAACAATTAAGATAAGACTAATTTGACAAACGTTTTCTAGTATTAAATAATACATTAGACGCGATTATTTATTGACTCCAAGCTGGCCATTCATAATTATAACAGTATTTTTAAGTTAGTTATTATCTCAAGGTTTTTATAGTTAAAGTTTGTAATTTTATTACGTAGAAATGTGTTCAACTTTTTTACTGGTCCAGTTTTTAAATACAATATATAAACTACGATCCACTTTAATATTAATATTGTTCTAAAGCTATTTTCTTGTGGCATCTTAATATAATTTACTATTTTTGCTGGGAATGGACTATCTAAGCTCTGACACAATGGGCGGGGATTTAAAAACCTTTCCAAACATTTATAATAATTTGTGTGTATTTGTCCCATACGAAGTTGGAAATATTGGTTTTTAAAATTTTCTGAAGAATAAATAAGAACTTATAAACATTCATTCTGTGCGATTGGTTTTATTTGTTGATCGTGATTTTGTGGGGTAAGAATTCTTCTTCTTCTCGTGCCACTCCTAGCGGAGATTGGAAATCATCATGGCCACTGCGACTTTGTTAGCAGCGCGCCTGAAAAGTTCAATCGAACTACACCCGAACCATTCACGTAGATTACGAAGCCACGATATTTTTCTTCTTCCCACACTTCTTTTGCCCTTAATTTTGCCCTGCATGATGTTTCTTAAAAGTTCGTACTTTTCACCTCTCACAATGTGCCCCAAGTATTCCATCTTTCTAGTTTTTATCT